TTTAGCCTCTCATGCTTCCTAATGCACACACCCCCTCCTTTTTATACATGAAGGCACCTCTTTCTTCCCTCATCTAACTAATGTGGGACTTAGAAACAACAACCTTCCACCCCTTTTTTTTGTTCCTTCTACCTTCTCTTTTTTTTTTAAAACACACACATAAAAAAAATTATTTATGTATTATATCTTAACTAAATATTGCTTATGTGGTTTTAAATTTAAATTTTTAAATTCATAATTAAATACCTAATCATAATATTATTTCTAAATAACCTCAAATAATATAAATTTCTATTATTATTATTTTTTTCCTCAAAACCTAAATTCCACAATTTCTTTATTATATAAAAATCAGGATGTTACACGTTGTTAATCCCATTAGCTTGAAAATAAATAGTGTTTTGCTCAAAATTAATGGAAAGGTGCTGGATGGTTTATTTTTTATAGTAAAAGCTACTCATTATTTTTTAAAAAATAGTTCATGACTAGATTTGCACCTTTATTTGCTAAGGTAGAGTACCATATGTTATTTTCAAATAAAAATTTTTGGCCTTACATGAAAAGTTAATGGTCGTCAAATAAAAATTAATGAAGGTCGATGGATGTTTTGTTTTTTAAAATTAAAAATTTATTTTGCACCATATATTGTAGGTTACCTAGTATTTCTAAAAAAATAGTTAAGGGTCAAATTTATAACTTTACTCTTTATTTATCTCCAAAACACACCATACTTTTGCACAATGCCTAAATTGTAGTACAACGCCAAGGATTCAGATAAATGGAATTGAACTGAACATGTGTTTGTTTTCAGTTTATCAAAAGTTTATTTGGTAAAAATTCATTTGACAAAAGTCAGCTTAGTAAAAGTCAGTTGTTATAATAAAATTTTTGTTTGGATACATTTTTAAAAAAATTAATTTGATACATTAAAAGTTGTTTGAATTATGACAATAAAATGTACTTCCAAATGTACAATTACTAAAAAAGATATTGATTTATAATAATTTATAATTTTTATTATACAAATATAATATATTTAAAATATTTTAAAAATATAATAAATATTTTAAATAACAAAAAATTTGATTCATAATGCTAAAAACTTGATCTCTATTATTTATACTTTTTAAATTTGTAATTTTAGCAAATGTGATAAAGATTTATAATTTTTATTACACATTAATGCTAAAAATTGACATGATTAATTATTTAATTTATAATGTTAAAAACTTGATACCTAATTATTATTATTGAAATGATAATTATATTTTTAATAAATTAACTATTTTTTAAATTAAAAAATAAGACATTAAACTAGAGACATTATGTCAAATTACATTATACTTTTTAAATTCACTTTTCAAAAGTTTTAAATAGTTATATTTTTTTCAAATTCACTTTTAATCACTGTTTAGATGTGTTTTCAATATGTGTTTTCCTGTAAAATATTTTACTCAAATAATTTTTAGCATTATGGAAGTGAAACTTTATTTTCTGGATGTAAAACATAGAAAACCAAATGGGCCCTAAATGTTTAGATTCCTAGCTCATAATGATACTTCTTCATTTTAATTATTCAAATACTTTTGGTATTCGTTATTGCTGGGTAACTCCTCACCTTGCACCAAAATAACACCAATCAAACACAATTAGGTGTAAAATATTTTAATAACTTTTCAAAACAATATTAATTGAAAAGAAAGAGATGGGGAGGATAGAAAAGCTAAAAAGTGATAAAAACAAGATTTTTTTGTTGTTGTTTTAACCTCTTTGGAAGTAAATCCCTATATATTTTTTTTATTGTTTTAGGTTCTCTAGTTCGTCCTATTTACAACTTTAATACCTCTACTTTTGACTATGTCTAGAAGAATGATAAGGTAACCAACTAAAGCTAGCATGAAGAGAAAATGGCAAAAATACCTATCAAGTGATCGACTAGGAATATCCAATAATCTAAAGTGAGAAAAGGGGTAAAAATACTTATAACGTTATTAAAATTGTTGTAAAAATAACCAAATCATTAACTTGCCTTAACATCTATTAGTTTTCAATGTTAAATACTGATTGTACTTGTTATGTGTCAATGTTTGCTGACATGAACTAAAAAATGGGCAAAAATACTCACAAAGTTATAAGCCAAGAGTATCCAATAGCCTCAAGTGAGAAAAGGGTGGAAGTATCTACAACATTACTTTAGTAGGTGCATTAGTGACTAATCCATTAAAAAATCGTTAACTTGCCAAGTAGTTTCTTTTATCGCTATGTATCCCACCCCCTTCCTTCCTCCCTTTTCTACTCATTTTTTTTGTCTGCAAAACGTGAAATTCAATACAGTAAAATAGGTTGCACGCAATCGAAGATCAAGAACAAAGAGACTGTGGCTCGCTACAAAGAATGCAAGTATTTCATGAAGGAGATTGTCTCTACTTGTAACGCCTTATTAACAACACACATCTTCTACACCACCTATCCCGAGAACATTGGCATAACCTTAAGCAATTTTATTCATGATGAGATTTGAAATCCTCAATTGGCTTCCGACAATGTTGTAAAGAAGTGAGTGATTTAACTCGTTACTCAATCAAAATGACATTTTTCACATGGTATTCATATAACGACCGATCAACTTTTATAGAATTCCACTTGAAAATATTTTTTGTCCACCTCAACAAAAAATGATCAACTTTTACTTTAGTATTAGCTAAACGGTCAATATTTAAGAGATTTAATGTATTAGTCACCATTAAATCTACTAAAGAAACATTATAGGTATTTCTATTATTTTTCTCACTCTAGGTTATTAAATGCTCCTGGCTTACATTTTTTAGGTATTTTTGCTCCTTTTTAGTCCATATAAGCAAGCATTGACACATGGCAAATATAGTCAGTATTTAACACTATAAACTAACGAATGTTAGGGCAAGTTAACGGTTTGGTTACTTTTACACCAATTTTGATAATGCTATGAATATTTTTCTCCTTTTTTTACATTAAATTACTAGATGCTTCTGGTTAACCACTTGATGTGCATTTTTGCCTATTTACCCCTAGCATGAATAAGAGCTCTCGCCACTTACATTATATTTGGTTGCAGGAAAGGGCAAGAGAATGAATTTTAATGGAAGGGTGAAAAAGAGGAGTAGGGAATGAGGAGGGGAAGGAGAAGAGGAATGCCCCCATTTTGGGAGAGGGGTTAATTTCTCTACTTTTCTATCCAAATGATGAGACAAAAATTCTCCCAATCTTCCAACCAACACATACCATTTAGTAAATGGTTGGATTTGAATCTCAATTCTTAAGTATGCAGAGACTTAGTTGGAAAAGATCTATTATTTATCTTTAATATTTCGGAGGAGATAATTTTTGTTGTTAAGGGAGCTTATGTGATAAAAAAAAAAGAAAGAAAGATAGTAAGATGACATTAATAACATTAAATATTCGAACATGTCACTAGCACTTCAAAAGATTATGTTTGACAGTGTATTCCCATGCCTGAGTAAGTGGGATTTTAGGGGTCAAATATGGTTTAAGATGTGGACCATTTTTTTTCCCTTCGTGCTTATTTATAATTCCATCTCATCAACATTTTAACACAAAATATAAACTGGGCTAGTGATGTTTTAAAAATTTTTAACTCCATCAATGTCACCTTATTATTCTTTCAAGCACATTCAATAGTTGATGGAGCATTGTATAAAAGATAAATTAGAGAATTGGAACATTAAAAATTGCAAAAATTCATATCAAAACACATTAAAACCATCAAAAGTTGTATTCTCTTGGCAAATCAACAAGCAGGATTTTGTAAATAGGAAGAGCATATTTTAACTTGAAATGGAAAACTCAATTTTTTCAGTATCCATTCCAAGCATTCGAGTCAAAAAAATGATAAAATTAGGATACATGTTTCTGGTTAAAAAAAAAGGATACTCATGGAAAGTCAGGGTTAAAAGGAAAATATTTTTGTTTGTATAATTTTATGTTTAGATAAAGTAACAAGTTTAGCCATAAACTATTTTTTTAGGGGCATCTTATGACATAAACTATCAAGTGATGCAAAATAAATCACGAATTTGAAAAAATGAAGCATTCAATGGCCCATCATTAATTTCAACTAATGTACGTTATGTGAGGCCTACAATAACACATGTCATGACATGGGCACGACACGTCAGCATGGTAAAGGTACAAATTCAGCTATAAATTATTTTTCAAAGAGCATCGGGTAGCTTCTATTATAAAAAAAGGACTATTCAATATGTTCCTTTCAATTTTAACCAAATATTATTTATTTTCATATTTATTAGGCCCATGAAGCATCAATTTCTCCCATCTTCTGGCTTTCATTCTTAGTATCAGTTCAAAAAGAAGAGGTTCAAAGGGTTTTTATTTGAAGATATTTACAAAAATGATGTCAATGAAGTAGAAAATTGATTTTACTTCGCATGGGAGAAGCTTGATTCTAATTTAATTTAGTCATAAATTATTTATTCTACTTTGTTAGTATCGTATTTGTGAATGTTTTCAGATAATAACTCTTTAAACCTCTTCTTCTCAAGTTGAGATTGAGAATGAAGGTAAGAAGATTAGAGAGATTGTGCTTTATAAGCATCAGAAGTATAAAAAAAATGATGTTTGGTCAAAATTGAAGGAAAGATATTGAATGATCTTCCTTTTTATAGTAGAGGCTAATTAATGCTTCTTGAAAAATAGTTCGTAATTAAATTTGAACTTTTATCATACTAATGTGTCGTGTTTGTGTCGTGCTATGTGTCATTTTGTGCTTCACATAATGTCCATTAATTGAAGTTAATGGCCGGCCATGATGCTCCATTTTTAAAAATTTTTAATTTATTTTATAAAATTTAATAATTTAAGCAATCAATGTTTTTTAAAAAATAATTTATGATTAAATTTGTATCTTTTTTTTTTGTGTTTAAAAAAAGTAAAATAAATTTTTTTGGATCCGATCCGGACAATTGACGACCGGCATGAACTATATCTTCTCCGCTCTCACAGTCACAAAATCTCTTCTGCAGTTTTGCCTCTACCTCCCTGCTCCCGCTATCTGTTTTCGTTGTTTAGAACCCAGATCTAGGGTTTATCCCCTATTCTTATCTCGTCTAATTTGTGTATTGATCTCTAAGCTCAAGGTTAGCTGCGATGAACTCTCAACTCTTACAGGGTTCAAGTGATTCACTTTTTGTAATCTTTTTTATCGCGAAAAGACCTAACCCTCGACGTCGTTGTGTATAGAATGGGAGAAGTAAAGGACAACGAAGCCTACGAGGAGGAGCTCATCGACTACGAAGAGGAAGATGAAAAAGCCACCGACGCTGTCTCGGGCAAAGATGGTACCGAATCCGGGAAGAAGTTAGTATCTTTCCTTATTTTTGATTATTTGCACTTCTTCGGTGAACTTCGGTGAACTAAAAGCTTGATAAATGATAGAGCACAATGGTGTTTTATAATTCATGCAGTAGACCCCATCTAGTGGGATAAAGGCTTGTTATTGTTGTTGTTGTTGTTGCACTTCTTCGGTGAAAATTTATTACGAATTGATTGGGTGCGTTAAGAACTTAAAATATGGGTAAGTGGAAGGAGAAATATGTGCTTCAATTTTTTTTTCGTTTTTTGGTAGGGGTCAAAGCGTATTTCGATCTTTGAAGTGTCAAGAAGTGATTTCTGGCTAGTTAGTAGTGGTTTAGTGGTTTTTGTTTTTCTGGCTATAATATTATCACTTGGAAAATGCTTCTTTCGTCTCTGTTTTTCTTTTTCTTTCTTTCTTTTGTTGTTTTGTATTTTTTTTTTTTTTGGGTTTGTCGTTGGCGGAATGTAAATAACTAAATATCATGTTTGCTTACATAGTCTACAATACGTTCCTTGTGATTGTGACACATCTGAACAGTCTCTTCATGATTTAAACCTTGTAAGGTTCCTACATCCTTATTAAAAGGGTAAATTTTCTTTCTATTTTGATGCAGGGGTTATGTTGGGATTCACAGTTCGGGATTTCGAGACTTCCTATTGAAACCAGAACTTCTTCGAGCCATCGTGGATTCAGGATTTGAGCATCCTTCAGAAGGTAAGTTCTCGTCTATGCTTTCTCATTACCGCATCAAACATAGTCTGCTGTGTTGTTATCCTTACTGGTTTTGGGGGGGGGGGGGACAGGTCGTTGTGCCGTTTACCTCATCAACTCTTTTAGGGGATTATTATGTTGATTATAGACTTTGCCATTGAATAAATACACAATTTAGCATTTTTTGTCTCGTTTTATATCACAATTTCCATTTCCTTAATAAGATTGTCCTTTATCTTTATTCATTATGTTTTTTCTCAGGTAATCACTACCAAATATTATGATAACGGCACAAAATTTGGTTGGTAAAGTTTCCATTAAACGGATCTGGAAGATCATATAATACTTACTGAGGATTCGTCCACTTCAATTTTGTTTGATTCTTCATCAGTGCAACATGAATGCATCCCTCAAGCTATTTTAGGAATGGATGTCATTTGCCAAGCAAAATCTGGGATGGGAAAGACTGCTGTTTTTGTTCTTTCAACACTTCAGCAAATTGATCCTGTTCCTGGTCAAGTTGCGGCTCTTGTTCTTTGCCACACTAGAGAACTAGCTTATCAGGCATGTCTTCTTGAATCTGTCATTAATTTGCCAAATATATTGATGTTGGTTTGCCGGTGCAACCCGCCTCCCTCACCGAAAAAAATGTTTTTCCATGTTGAAAGGGATTTTATTATGTTTTCCAGTACACATGGATGCACATGTGCTTAAGTCTGCATGCTTGTACTAAAGCTATAATTGTTTCTAAATTTGTTCAGATATGCCATGAATTTGAGAGGTTTAGCACATATCTTCCCGAAATAAAAGTTGCTGTTTTCTATGGTGGGGTCAATATCAAGGTTCATAAAGAATTGCTTGCAAATGAATGTCCTCATATTGTTGTTGGAACACCTGGGCGGATATTAGCCCTGACTAGAGATAAGGATCTTAGCTTAAAGAATGTGAGGCATTTTATACTTGATGAGTGTGACAAGATGCTTGAATCACTTGGTAACTCTCCCTTTTCTATCGTGGTTTTGCATTTTTTTAAATTTATAGATCTGACAAAATTATATTGATTTCTTATTCTTTTATCATATTTCTCATTTTATCTGTTTTTATTGCTTGTAGACATGAGAAGAGATGTGCAAGAAATTTTCAAATTGACTCCCCATGATAAACAAGCAATGATGTTTTCGGCCACACTCAGTAAAGAAATACGCCCTGTTTGCAAGAAATTTATGCAAGATGTAATATTCTCTTCATGTGTTGATTCTTTGAGCTCATAGTGCTTCCCATATTTTAGTATTATGCTTATTATTGTCTTGCTGTTATGATGGCATCACCATCATCATTGCCCTCTTCTTTGTTGAATTTCATCAACATTATTGTAGCGGAGGCTTTTTTGTTGATTGGGATTCCCTGAAGTAGTATCATCCTATAACTTGTTGAAATTTTTAAGCATTGGCACTTGTTTGGGGAGCATATGATTCAGTAATTTTTTTATTTGGCATGATTTTAGTAGTAACAAGATTTGAGGATCATTTATATTTCTCTTGCACTTCATTTTATATTTGATTCCTGCCAACTAGAGAATGGTGTCTTGTCATGGTATTGATGATCTTCTTCCCTTTCAGCCTATGGAGATTTATGTAGATGATGAGGCTAAATTGACTCTTCATGGTTTAGTACAGGTGTAATTTCTTGACTCCTTTTTATATTTTATTTCTGTTATATTTTCCTCTTGTTGATACTTTAAGTTTTCATTTGTCTAATTGCTCTACTTTTGTTGTGACCTTTTTCAGCACTACATCAAATTGAAGGAGGCAGAGAAGAGCCGTAAGTTGAATGATCTTCTTGATGCCCTGGACTTCAACCAAGTGGTCATTTTTGTCAAAAGTGTCAGCAGAGCAGCAGAGTTGAACAAGTTGCTTGTGGAGTGCAACTTTCCATCAATCTGCATACATTCAGGAATGTCACAAGAAGAAAGGTATCTATGATTTGATTGAACCCACCGACTTGTGTATTGGCCTTTTCGTGTATTCTGAATTATTTTTGCTACTTAAGGTTTTGCCAGCCTTATCTATCTTAAAAATTAGGTATTCTTTGATTGTGTTCCCATTGTGAATTGGTCCCTGGATATTGATGCGTTGGAAGTCTCAACTTTGTCAATGAGAAGATTAACTCGTGCAATTAAAGTGAAGAGGAATCAATGTGAAGTTAAATCTTTTCTGTTGAAATTTTTATATCTTTTTTCAACTATTAATGTCTTTACAAATTGGAAGAAGGCTGCTTTCATAAGGTTTTTATCGGGGATGTTAGAGAAATTGTGATACATGGGAATTGGGAATAATAGGAGTAATTAGGGGAATTAGGAATATGAAGGTAGTTTGGGTATCTAGATATATTCTCTATAAATAGGTCTCTAGGTTGTAATGGTAAATTATGAATGGAATTAATTTCTCTGTTTCTCTCTATCTCTCTCTCTCTCTCTCTCTCTCTCTCTCTCTTTTCTACCTCTATCAAAGGTATCAGATCCTCCTTTCTGGCCATGGCTCTGCTAGAGAGTCGATCCAATGAATGCTTTGGTGTTCTCGACTATCATTTGGAGATGCAATCAGCTTGGCTTCAACGCAACCAGCAGATATTACACCAACAGACTCATGACTTCAGTGAGATCAAGCAAACCATGTCTCACATTTCTCAACAAATGCACAAAATCTTGGCTAAGCTTTCGATGCTTACCAAGCAGCACTTGAACTCTCCTATGGTCACTATGGGTGAACCGTTTAACATGCTGAACCATGTTTCAACTGAGCTTGAGTTCAACCACCAACAACAGAACAGTAACATAGACGCAGAAACAATGGGGGAGTTGAATGATATTGTCGAAGATGAAGAAAAACTTGAGGATGACGCTCAAGATTGAAGCAAATCAAGAGCAGAGGACTACAGAAGTGACGCAGAATGAAGTTGCTAGCCTAACTATAGATGAAGAGGAAGTCGATAGAATGCTCACAACCTTGAAGCTCGACGAGAACCTTGATAGTGATGACGATGGCTCACAGTTTTCCAGACATTCCCACTTTAATGGCTTGTCCTTATGTCACTGGTGCGACAGCGTTGTTAAAATCGACACGTCTAGATTGGAGCCCAGCTGCTATAAGGTCAGTGATGTTGATCGCAACTCTACTGGATAACAGAAACTGACTTGTGGTCTACAAAGGTAGCGAGAAAGCTTTCGTCTTATATGACTTTGGTGCCGAACATCTCAACCTGGGTCAGACTATGGAGATGAATGGTTCATAGTCGAATTGCTTGGCTTGAAAGCTATTAGTGGAAAATCTGAACTACCCATATTTTGTGGCTCTGTTCGTGCGCTCATCGGAAGGGGTAACTAGAAAGACGTTCCTCAAGATAGTGAGGAGCTTTGGTTCGGCAAACTTGACTTATCGAGCACAAGTGGAGTCACGGCCGCAGGGGGTTGTGGTGAGTATGAGGCCATCGCAGCTGATGTTTTCAGGGATAATGAGGAAGCAGAGCTATGCGGTGATAGTGATAGATGCGGTGACGATGATAGCAGATGGCCGAAAACTTGGGTCAGGTAGGGTTATTAAAGAAATCGGATTGAGTGAAGAGAGACTGGGTCTCGGGTTTTTGCTGAAGTTTATTCGATTTTTTCCAGCGATAAGAATGCGTATTCATGACTGCAAGTGTTTGCTTCAGGTATTTACCAATAATTTCCAGAGGCACCACAAGCGTGATCCACTTGTCAATCAGCTAAAACCCATTGGAAATGGATTTGATAAAAGTGTTGTTAGACCTTGCTTGCACATGTTTTGGGCTTCTCCCGCGTCCTTGGCCCAAAAGCCTTTTGAAAAGTGAATAATGCCGAATGGGTTTAATTACAATGATGTTAGACATTATGTTGATGAAGTTTGGGCTTCTCAAAAAGCTTTTGGTTGGAATTGGGTCTTGAAAATGGAGCTAAGGGATGTTCTCAAGCTTCAACAATGGGCTTATTACAAGTTTATGTGGCTTGCCATGATGGGCTTCTGGATTAACAGAGTGCTACAGCATGTTTGGGCTTTTGATGTCCATTAATTTTGTTCTTAAAAGTATTTTAGTTTTAGCAACTTACAACAACAACAACAAGCTTTTATCCTACTAGGTGGGGTCGGCTACATGGATTGTAAGATGCCATTGTGTTCTATCATTTATCAAGCTTTTAGGAATATTACTAAATAAGAGATCGCGTTCAACAACTTCCAAGAGTGTTCTTTTAGGCCTTCCTCTACCCCTCTTAATCGGACTCAGTTATATGTTCCACTCTTTTCACTGGTGCCTCCCTTGGTCTTCTTTGTACATGCCCAAACCATCTCGGACGATTTTCTACCATTTTTTCCTCAATAGGTGCTACCCTCACTTTTTTGTGTACGTGCTCATTTTGAATTTTATCTTTACGTGTATGTCCGCCCATCCATCGTAACATTCTTATCTCTGCTACTCCAATTTTATGCTCTTGTTGTCCTGTTAGAGCCCAGCATTCACTACTATATAACATTGTCGGTCTGATAGCAGTGCGATAAAACTTTCCTTTAAGTTTATTAGGCACCTTACGGTCAAATAACTCCTTTAACTTTTCTCCAATTAAACCACTCAGCTTGAATCCTATATGAAATATCTTCACTGATTTCGCCATTATTTTGAATAATGGCTCTCAAATATCTAAACTTTTTCACTTGAGGTATAATTTGATCTCCCAATTTCACTTCCAAATTATTGTCAAATAGTCTCTTCCCTTAAGTTTTAGCAACTTAAGGCCAACAAAATATATATATTTATAGCTCAGTCTTATTTTAGATATGTATTTTCCTGCTTTTGTACTGATCCTTGAGGACAAGGATCTCTTGTTGGGGGGAGTATTGATACATGGGAATTGGGAATAATAGGAGTAAGTAGGGGAATTAGGAATATAAGGGTAGTTTGGGTATTTAGATATATTCTCTATAAATAAGTCTCTAGGTTGTAATGGGAAATTATGAATGGAATTAATCTCTCTGTTTCTCTCTATTCTCCTCTCTCTCTCTCTTTCTCTCTCTCTCTTCTACCTCTATCAAATTGCCATTGTGATTTTCTCATGCGAGTGCTTGCAGCTGACTCTTGGGAACTACTGCTGACAAGCATTCCCATGAAAGGTGGAACTTTGTGAGCACCTTGATTAGTGTCCCAGAGTTGTCTCCCCCTATTAAGTAGGTGCATGCAGATTGCTTTCCCTTCACATTTTTTCTTTATTCATTCTGGCCTCCTGATGTTATTCTCCCATCTCTTCTACTTTGGTGTTTAAAATTGATTATAGTTTTGGGGCATGTGCTTTGGTAAGTCTAGAGTTGCAATGCCTATGCATCTGGTTTCAAATTAAATGGACTATAGACTTTGGCTAGTTCTTGTTGGTTACTTAGCAATTGCTTTTAAAATTTAGGCAAGGCATGTTGTGTTGTTTAAATAAATCCTACCTGGATCGCAGATATAACTTTTCCTAACGGTGTTCAGTTTCCTATTTATGGGTTCTCTCTCAAAATTCCCTGATTATATATAAGCAAAAAACATATTATTATCAATAATTGTTAATCACGAGTGGATGTGGAATTTTTTTTGTTGGAATTGTAGCTTGTAATCCTTTATTTTCATCACTATTATCAGAGTAATTCTGTTTTAATTTCTTTTCGTTTATTTCCCTTACTCAGGGTAATTATGGCTAATTAGGATCAGATTTGTTGTTATATTATTTTTTCATCCCACAAAAACCTAACGTGCTTTCTTTCTTTCTTAGTGAATGAAATGAATTGTGACTCTGGAAATTTTCATTTATCCACCAATATCAGACACCACCTGGCCTAGCTTTACATGGTTTGCTTTTTTCAGATTGAAACGATACAAGGGATTCAAGGAAGGGAAGCAGAGAATTCTTGTGGCAACTGATTTAGTAGGAAGGGGAATTGATATAGAACGTGTTAATATTGTTATCAACTATGACATGCCAGATTCGGCTGATACTTACCTTCACAGGGTAATTATTTTCTTCGCCTCATGCTTTTGAGGCTAGTCAGTTTGTGCGTATAACTCCGTATAATTTGGGTCTCTGATTTGTGATATGCACTATGCTTTGTTGTATATGAATGCCTTGCCTTCCCTCTTCTAAGTTCTTGGCATTTGCATTCATAGGTGGGAAGAGCTGGTAGGTTTGGCACCAAGGGTCTTGCTATCACGTTTGTGTCTTCTTCCTCTGATTCTGATGTTCTTAATCAGGTTTCCTCCACTTTCATGGTGACATCAGAATTTCATTTTTAGACCACCATCGATGAAAGGAAAGATACAGGGTCTTTTGCCCATGTGATGATTCCGTTAACAAATGCTTAAACTTAAATTTCAGGTGCAGTCAAGGTTTGAGGTTGATATAAAGGAGCTTCCTGAGCAAATCGACACTTCCACATATAGTAAGATGATATTCCTCTTTGCAGGCTTTTTACATTTTCAGCAAGTTTTTTCCCCCCAATTCCATTGCATGGTGTCCTAGGAAATCTGGGGGTTATTACCGCTTCCTGCCCAGACTAATCTGAACCTTGTTATGTGGGGACTATTATTACCCATAGGGGCCTCATAGGTACCTCAATGATGTTTCTGACATTTATTTGACATGATTGCATATCTAGGACTCAAACTTGAGACGTCGAGAATTTTGTAGTTCTAGCTTAGTTTTTTACTTGGACCATTAAAGCTTATTAGCAGAACAGGATGCTTTGAATGTGGAATTTAAGTAGAAAAGGCTGTGATAGTGTTAATACTGCAGATATTGTTGTATTACATGTTTAATGGATTACTTATAAAGGTCATCGAGATCTTAATGTATTATTTCTCCTTTTTTCCCGCAGTGCCCAGCTGATAAAGTTTACTGGTGATGGACGTCTTGGTTGTTTGACACGGTAGAAAGACGTTATTCGGAGCTTGCAAGCTCATCTGCTTGTGGAAGATACTGGCTTCTTTCCGTTATTCATGTGCTTAAATCTGAATTTGGGTTACTGATGTAATATGAATTATTGGAAATCTGGAGCTTCTCGTTGCTATTGCAAGAGGGTGTATTGCATGAGAGGTAGATGGTTAAGCATCTCAAAGCGATTTTTGATGCTTGGTTATTATATTTTAGGCTAAATGTTAGTATAATGTATGAATGCTAATTGTAAAATACTTCCACGCTTTCATTTTGTCTCTCGTTTTGTTTAAGACAATATTAGTTGTTATTTAAGCTATACCCTTGTATTTACTTTAAAATTTGCACGCACATAAATCTGACACACTCTTAGTGTATCATATTTACTGGCGCATGCAATTTGTTTTTGGACGTTCACTAGTATATGATGCGCAATTTCTCCCAGAATTATTACATATATATCTTAACGATAGTTTATTTTGTCGTGACACGTCCTTGTCATTTCAATTTTCTTTTTAAATAATTTTCCTAGACTTCAAATGCTAATGCACTAGTAATTAGTATGAAGATCAAAGGGTAAATTATGTATAATTACTTTAAATTTGCAAAAATGTGCAATGGACCTGGTTAATTTGTTATGAATGTGAAAAGGTTATATAATCCATCTCAATTACTGACCTGTTTAGTTGAAAATTATGAAATTTTAATTAAAAATTTGTGATGGTTAGTTTTAAATTTTAAAAGGACTAGTTGTTAACAACCATGTAATTGCAAAATAACGGAAATTTACAAGAAGTTAAAGGGTGCCGTGTAAAATCATTTGAGTCTTTAAGAACTCGCCTTCTCATATTTATGGATCTTAGCGAATTTACAGTTAAAATGTTACCATAATTTACAACTTAATATGTCTAAACGTAAAGGGGTTAATATGAAGTTTTCTCGACAAATTAGTTATTTATAAAAAAGAATTATAATCGGCTTACATAAAATACATTAATATGTGTAATTGATAGGAATAGTTTATAGATTCTGAACTCTAATATTATATCTTAATTTTTAATATTAATATTAAACTTTGTCTTATTTCACCTTCTCCCTCTCTTTATCATTAGTAGGCCATATATTATATTTTTAAATATTTTTTATAATGAATATTAGATTAAAAATTATTTTTAGCTTTCAACTTAACTCAAACAATTGGTGACCAAGAGTATAATGAATTTAAATATTTTATAATAAAAATATTAAATAAATATAATATAGAACTCACTAACTGTGACGATACAAGAAGAAGTTAATGTTAAGAGATAAAATTAACTCTTGTTTAAATTTAAATTGCCCTTAGACTTTTTAAGCATAGTTGAATGTCAAATCTTATTTAAATTAGGGAGAATCATATTCAATAATTACTTAAAAAATATTACAGAAAAAAATCAATATAAAATAAATTGTTGTTAAAATAAAAATATGACTTATTTATTTTTAAATGAGACTTGTTTATAATTCTTGTCTATAAATCATTTGCTTAATGAATTATCGTTAAGAGTTTAAATTAGAACACGAGGGAGTAGCATGGCTAAGGTATGCTTGTATTTTTCACTTTAAACAAATCAAACAGCAAAGGGAAACGAATTCTATTAGCGGGAAACTGTGTTGTTTTAACCGCCAAAGCTCACGAGGATCGTTCGATCCATCCTTCCCAAATTAAGTCCCTCTCCCTCCCTCTCTCATGTCTCTAATAATCGGTGCAGCTTAGCGACCCATCGTCGCCGCCGCTTTCAAGCGACGGAAAAGCTGCACTCATGGGGAAGAGCCCGCCATCTCCCCCGTCCGACATCGAGACGGCTCACGGAGGCCGCAAGGGCCGACCATCCCCTCCCTACGATGTTGACACGGTTCACGGAGGCCGCAGGAGTCGACCATCGTCTCCCCTCGACGTTGAAACCGATCGCGGAGAGACGGCTCATGGCGGCCACAAGGGCCGACCATCACCTCCCTATGACGTTGAAACGGCCCATGGAGGTTCCGGTGGTCGACCGTCGCCGCTTTCTGATACGGAGACGAGACGCGGGCATCGGAAGAGCCGATCAGAAACTCCGCAACCAACACCGCGTTTTTCCCCACCACTTCCGAAGCCGTGGTTCCCATGGTTTGTGCCTCTCATATTTGTGGTTAATGTGGCACTTTTTTGGTATTCGATGTACTACAATGATTGCCCTGCAAAAATAGACAAAGATCGTAAATGTCTCTTGTCAGAATATTTGGGAAGGTTCTCTTTCCAACCCTTCAAGGAGAATCCCCTTCTCGGGCCTTCCACAAGAACGTGAGGATTAGTCCCTTTTCTTTCTCAAATTCTAATTGATGGTTTAGATAGTTGGATTATTTATTGGGAAACTGGGACTAGTGATCTTCTTTGAGCAAAAGAAGGGAGGGAAATTTCATCGCAATAGGGTTTTTGTTTCGTTCTCTTTAGCTCCAAATGTTCAATGTATGAAGCTTTCCCAGAGAGTTGTGGTTTTCTTTTGGAAATTAACAGGAAATGATATTTGTTCAACTGGAAGAATGAACAATCTAGTTGAACAGCACTTGCAATGTTGATTAACTCCGTACGTAGGAGTAGTGTGAAGGTGGAAAGGAATGAGTTAAAATATTGGCATTGTATCTGTCTGGATATAAATCTTGATAAATTTGTATGTTTAACTTATCCTCCTCTCTACTATCAAATTTTCCACCATCAAGCATAAGTCTCTCTCAAGAAAGTTTAAAAACCAGGATTAAATTGATGTTCTTGTGAGGATATAGTGGAATTTATACTCAAAGCCACTAAACTTATCATTGTCCGCTAAACAGCAGCACTTGAACGATCAAAGTCAGGATTGCTCATATTCCTATCGTCTGCTTTTTCCTGCACCAAACAAAAAAATATAATTTATATGATTAATTTTGTATCTCTTATAGGTCGATATCTATAGGTTTGATTGTTTGTTCCAACTTTTGCAGGCTGCAAAAGTTAGGAGCCCTACAAAAGGAACTAGTGGTGGAGGACAATGAGGGATGGCGCCTATTAACCTGCATGTTTCTTCATGCTGGAGTTATACATTTAATCGCCAACATGTTTAGCCTCTTATCCATAGGAATCCGCCTTGAGCAGGAATTTGGATTCGGTAGGCATTTTACCGAGTTTTCCTATTGAACTTACTTTTTTTTGGAAGTTTATCAGGATATAGACTTTCCTCATCTCATATATTGCAGTGAGAATTGGATTATTATACACGCTTTCTGGATTTGCTGGAAGCTTAATATCAATGTTGCATTTGGAAGCATCTGCAAAACCAACCATATCAGTTGGTGCATCTGGTGCACTTTTTGGACTCCTTGGAGCCATGCTTTCTGAGCTTCTAACGAACTGGACAATTTATGAAAACAAGGTGGCGTATTCTATGTATGAAAGCTTTTTATGGAGGAGTTCGTGAGAAACAAACTTTAACCCATTGTTTAAAATTAATTTCCAGTGTGCAGCTCTTATAACCCTTCTGGTCATTAGTGCCCTAAACTTGTCTCTTGGATTTCTGCCTCGTGTTGACAATTCGGCTCATGTGGGAGGATTCACATCAGGATTCCTCCTGGGGTTTGTTCTTTTAATGCGCCCTCAATATGGATATGTAAATCGTAAGCATATTCCTCCAGGATATGATGTCAAGCGTAAATCCAAGTTCACCTTCTGTCAATATCTCTTATTTGTCGTATCATTAATCATCTTAATTGTTGGGTAAGGAGCTGATCATCATTCTCTTTTCTTTGAACTTTTTTACCCTGAAAAAATGGTTCAGCCTTAGTTGGCATGCCTTCCTGAACTTGTTCTCACAAACGCTATGTATTTTGCTGGCAGATATGCATATAGCTTAATTATGCTATTCAAGAAATAGATACCAAAGGAAAAAATTGAATGCTGAGAAAAGACAGAATGCTTGTTTCTTCAAATTTGCAAGTATTCATCCAGAACCTCCCTGTTCAGATGTGTATAAAGGAATACATGTATTTAGACGCCAAACTTGAATTTACATAGATGTTTCATAGTTTGGAACTTTTTCCTGTTTTCTTTTTTCAGGTACATGCTTAGTCATATTGTTTGTAGAAGAAATATAAACAAATTCTGGACTTTTGAAGCTTGCACAAATTCTGAGATGATTTCTGGCGATACACATGTAATTATTTGGCTTCCTCTATAGATAAGGGGGAATCTCTTGAGTTTCTCTTCCCCAATTCTTTGGACCCTATGAAATAGTATATTTTAACTGATCATTGAACATCGAAAACCAAAATTCCTTTCGTTTCTAATTCGAGAAACAAATATAAATGGTGAAATTGATTTAGATTTTAATTCAGGTTATTGCAATGCACTCATCTGCATTGTAAAATGGGAACGAGCTTACAAAAACACAGATTGCTGAAGTCTTGTATATATATATATATATATATATTTTTAATGTATGTATGTATGTATGTATGTATGTATGTATTTCCACAGACTAAACTAATGTTTGTTCTTTATCAAAAAAAAAAAAAAAACTAATGTTTGTTGCCATTTTAAAGAATTGATCTAGCCTTTGCCTTTGCTGTTTTATTTATATATTTGGTATAACTGATTTCCAGGCCAGAGGGTGATCCATTAAGCGAATAATTAACAAATTGGAGATTTCCATTTTTACTATTTTAGAGAAAATTTTCAAATATTTTACGAACACATTCTTCAACAAGTGCCCATTAAATTACTGCTGAAGTTGCCTTGAGTTATATTGAAATGGAATTTGTGTTTTTGTGCTCCCCGAAAATGGTCCGTTCCAATTGAACAACCCAAAAGAAACAGAAGGCATACAAGCTAACGTCAAGTTGAAACTCGAAGCATATTGGGTCCTAGTTCAAGGTATAATGTTGAAATGTGGTATAACAAGCTTTGTTTTGCATAACAAAAGACTCATCCATTTCCACCAATACCTCATTTAGCAGTTCGTTTATATATTTTTGAAATTTTTATTTTGATTTGAAAGTAGAAATTTTGTTATGCATAAGAGGCATGCACAATAAAGAATCCGTGGGTAAATCTTTTTTTTTTTTAAATGATAATCAAGGAGCTTCTAAGAAGATTAATACTGAATCATGATTTTTTTAAAGAGTTTCAATGTTGAACTTGAGTTATAATGAGATTCTGATTTTATATTAATTTTCGTTCTTAGTTGTCATTTGCCCTTTTTTTTTTCTTACGTACAAATTAGCCTTTGATAAATCAATTTTTTAGCAACCCACGCCGATAAATCATTAAAGCATGATGAAGTGTATATTTAAATTTCTACCATATAATAAAAATAAATGTCAATGTTGAAAAATATTGATGGGAACCATCTAAATATGACATCCAATTATTTTTACTCATAGGAGGCACTGAAGTTTAAGAAATATTAATATATAACAAAATGCAGGGTTTGTATGTTACATTTTAACTCTTCAAATAAAATAAATTGTTTAGTTGATTTTCAATATTTCAAAGAGTTTAACATTTATTATTAAAGAAGAAGGTTTAAATTTTTGGTAATCACTAATCATGTCAAGAAATACCTAATAATTCTTTGGTCTTATTTATCAAGTAAAGAGAAAAGAAATAATTTAGTCTTATTTATAGGACACTCATCAATTTTCAATATTCTTCTTTACATTTTTACCCTTATTAAATGTTTTAAATAAAAATATTAGTAATGAGATTTAAAAATATTTATTAGAGGTAAAGATAAAAACTTAATTTTAAGAAAATTTAATGGTTTTAAAGTTTTTTTTTAAGTTTATTGAAATATGTTGAAAGTGACTTATAAATAAGATTAGAGAGAATAGCTAATAACATTAATGATATAATTATATGTTTTTTCTCATATAATTTGGAATTTGACAAATTGATTATAGAATTGTAAATAGTATGGTTTGATAGAAAACATTTTCAGAAGAATTAACTGGATTCAATAGTGCTTGAATCTGCATCAATATTACTGAATATTAGATAACTCTCTCTCTCTCTCTCTATATATATATATATATTAGGTCTGCAATATTGCAATATATAATGTTAATTTATTTTGTAAAATCTTTATTTTCATATAATTCCACCAACTTTGTTTAAATTCCTTTTTTAACGATGATTTAGTACAAATCAGAGTCTTGATAAAATTTAATTTTTTCTAGGATTAAGATTTTATTATTATTGACCAATTATCTGAATGAAACAACAAATATCATTTACACTTACATTTAATTAATGGTGAGAAAGTTAATATGAATTATATGTTTATTGGTCAAATGAATATGGGAAACGGCCCTCTCTGCGTTTTGTAAATAAATCTGTGTGCAGCCTTAAAAAAAAAAAAAAAAATTCCGTGTAGTCTGGTCCTAATAAAAGAGAGAGCAATGAAGTATTAAGGAGGTTGGTAAGAGGCAGAAATTGAAGATTTGAATCAGAAGCGACGCAAAAATGGGTTGGATCGGTGAGACTGTGGAATCCATTAAATCTCTTCAGATCCGCCAGGTCCTTACCCAGGCTGTTAGTCTCGGTTAGTTCTTCTTGTCGCTTTCTCTGGGTGCGTGTGTCTGACATTACACGAAAAAAATCAAGCGCTGCAATAATGTGGGTATACTGTGAAGTTAACAAAATTGAAGCAATGAATGGGGGCAAAAGCGATTTTTTTGGCTTCTTCGTTTACTTCAAATTGACTTTTTTGTACCTATAAATTGAACCAGGAAAGTGCCCACACAAATTTCATCATTTTTAGACTTATGGTTTATTCGAGCATTCTGAATTTGTTTCGTTATCATGTTATGCTCGTTCTATAGTTTTTGCCTATTCAGGGCATTTTTTCGAATAACAAATGAAAGAGGATATTGTAGTCAAGTATGACATTCCTAATCAGCTTACCAGCTCTCCAACAACATTATATTTCATGGCTGAATAATTCCCCGCACCACTCAGTTTTTGTGTTGGTTTTTGCCATTATCCTGGTTATGTTCTGATCAGTCTATGATACTGTTATTTTGTCATTTATGCTTGATCTCGATCAGGCATGATTGTTACATCTGCACTGATAATATGGAAGGCGCTCATGTGTTTCACTGGAAGTGAATCTCCCGTTGTGGTTGTTCTTTCTGGAAGCATGGAACCAGGATTTAAGAGGGTAAGTGAATCGAATGCATGAAGGCTTTAGTACATATGTATCAAAATATTTTGGGCGACCGATTGTATTTCATGTGTCTTTTCTATCCTAATAGTTATACGGTATATAAAATTTAAATCATTTGCTACTGTACAATTATTATTCAGTATTCACTTTCAAAATGCATGTCCTTTTTCTTTTATGTTTTTCCCAGTGTATCACACAGGAGGTTTGGTCTGGTTCTAGAAACATTTTGTTCATCTAATAGCTGACGCCAACAAGAAGAGAGAAGCTGCATCTTATATGAAAAATTTTCCCATAAAAGTGAACTATTTGTTTGATCAGTTCACAAATGTTCTCTTATATCATGTGCAGGGGGATATCCTATTTTTGCACATGAGCAAAGATCCGATTCGTGCTGGGGAGATTGTGGTATTCAACGTAGATGTAAGTCCTTGATTAATTTTACTCTATTTTGCTTACCCTTTATATTTGTGATAGAATATTATGTGACAAAGAGCACTCTTTTTGTGATGTCATTAATGTACTGATGTAACTTCTGATATCAAACTTCTAATTGTAGTTGCTCTTTATTCTGTATCTCCAGGTCTTTGTTAGTTCTCTTGTTCATTGATCCCTTTTGGTGATGTTTAATTAGTGGTATGATTTGAGAGCAAGTTTAAGCCTAATATCTTAACTCTCTATTTGGGCTTTCACTGAAAACTTATGTTTATTACTTTCTTCAAATCTGTTTTTGTATTCTGCTACAGCTGCTCTGTTTTTTATCTCCTTCTCTTGCTAATATTATATGCCTTGTTGTTTTTTGTTTTGTGTTGCTTTTTCATTGGTGTCTAGGGCCGTGAGATTCCAATTGTTCATCGTGTAATTAAGGTAAGCTCAACCTTCCTGCCATACTTCTAGCATTTATTTTCTGAAGTTGGGCTTTAGATTGAAGTTCTGAAGTTCCTTCCAAACTTTGTGTGAGATTTCTGAAGTTCAAATTGCTATTAGACTAGTTATATTATGTGGTAGTGAATGCTGAGCTTTAAAGGGACAACAAGAACATGAAGTTGAAGTGACCAAGATGAGATAAATGTGTGGACATACACAAAAAGATAAAATCCAAAATGAGCATATGTGAGAAAAAGTGGGTATGATATCAATTGAGGTGAAAATGGTAGAAATTGTTTGAGAGGGTTTAAACATGTATAGAGAAGGCCGTGCTAGGCACTGGTAAGGAAAGTGGAATGGATAATTTTAAGCCTTGTAAAGAGGGGTAAAGGAAGACCAAAGAAAACACTTATGAAAGTTGTTGAATGAGATCTCTTGGTTAGCAATATTCTTTAGAGTTTGGTTGATGATAGAGTATAATGGCGTCATGCAATCCATCTAGCTGACCCTAACTAGTAGGGTAAGGCTTCTTGTTGCTGCTAGTGTTGGTGGTTGTGGTTTAACAAGTTTCTCCTTGATTATAAAAGTGACTAATTCAGTTGTTCTATGCCTCAGCACATGACTGCCTCTTGACTCAATATGAGGTAGAATGGTTTGTTCTGCATGATTTTGTTATGAATATGTATAAATTTACTACCTCCAGTCTCAAATATAAAACACTAATACCTACCTTTACACATACAAATAGAATTGCTCAAACTTAGTTAAGGTAATTAAATTTGTAGTAAAACATAATTTTTTGCATATTTACGCTTAATTAATGGTTGAAGTTCTTCCTAGTGAATCCCATGTGTCTCTCACATACTTTAGCCCAAATTTAATGAGGGATATTTCAAGAAAAGGCATTTAATGACTTAAAAAGTAATTTATATTTTGGACCACTAAAACATAAAAAAGTGCCTTATATTTGAGACCGGAAGTAGTTTCATATTAGCATATCAGTCGGTGTGTGTGTTGTGGCAAGGTTTTGGTGTTTGGGTTTGGGGTGTTATTTTGCTAATTTTTTTATCTAAGCTCCACCAGAATGACGTTCGAACCATAACAAAAGAAGTTTACATACAATTTGATGTCCACACTCTCTTTCATGTGGATTTGAGTCACTTAGCTCTGTATCTCAATTCCCAAAAAACTTTTCCCTAAGACATCAGCTTCAATGTACCATGCTCCATTGGATACCTTGTCATCCTTACTGATCTTTGTATTGTTGGATGTTGTACTTTTATCTAGGTCTTGTCATTGATTACATTCTCCATAGGATCATCAGTTGAGGATATTTTTTTATTTTCCCCCTAAGTAAAGAAGAATTGTACTTCCAAAATTTTATGAATATCCCTCTCTGGTAGCAGAGGAATACCATGATAACTTGTATTGTAGTTTATGACATTGTGATCAGGATATTCCTTAAACTAATTTCTCAAGAAATGTTATCATCAACATTTTGAATGTTTTGTTTTTCCAAAACGTTTACCTGCTACCAGGTAATTTATGATTATTATGATTGCATTTAATGGTTGGTTATTTTCAGGTTCACAATCGACAAGATACCAGGGAGGTTGATGTTCTCACGAAAGGTAGTGAGTTATTCTTAACTAGGTGAATTTATAAAAATACTGGAGGTTCTGTATTGTGGTTTTTTGTTATATGACACCTGTTTGACATGTTACATACGTTTCCCCCCAAAACATTGTAGATCATATGATTTGTTGTTTTGGATGTCTTTTCAGGGAGTGCTAATTAATTTCTAATATTTACTCTCTACATATTACTGCCTTTTGCAGGAGACAACAATTATGGGGATGACAGGCTACTGTATGCTCAGGGTCAGCTATGGCTGCAGAGGCACCACATTATGGGAAGAGCTATTGGGTAAAATATATCTTCCTTCCTGTTACACTTGCTCCGTTATTTGTTTATTTTAATTTATTTCGGTTATTATGGTCCGGGTGTCCATGTACTTCGTCCAGCTATTCCCTTCCTAGAGTGCATTAGGGAGGAATCCAATCTTAGACTGTGAAGGAGAAAGATATTATCTCTTCTGATTGAATGAGCTAACTCCTTTACTTTGGTACATTAGTGCTATTTCTTTGTAGACTTGCTCGCTAAATTTGTCTTGATAACGCTATAGCTTGCATGTTAGATCAACCCTGAATTATTGATTTGTTTTGGAATTATAAAGTTGCATGCTTTATCTCTCCAACTGAGACTGGTGCCTGACATTGAAGTTTCATGCTTTCTGGCTTGGGCACGAGATGAAGGCTTTATTTTTGTTTTAGTAATCTTATAATCTGGTCCATGATATTAGTCCTATTTAGTTTTAAACTTTGCTAATGCACTTGTCAATCCCCCAAAATAACAAGCTCAATGCATTTTGGTCCTTTTGTCAGGTGATCACAAAATACTGAAAGAACAAACTCGTAATGAATTTGTTATTTTAAGAAATCTACGTGTGCTTTAGCTAATTTCAGCAAACTCTTGATTTTAAGAATCAAATTATTAGTTGACAGAGACAGTTCTTCCTTCAAGATATTTGAAATGATCAATATATATGTTTATAGAAGATTCTTAAGAAGCTGCGCTATTTACAAGTTGCGAACAATATAAGTCGCCTCAGATTCCATGCAGCGCATGGGTCCTACAACTAATGTAGATAAAGATGTCTAAATGAAAGATAGCTTATGCTATTAGTTCTGATTGATTTTAATGCTACTTTTATTTTTTATTTGGCAGGTTCTTACCTTATGTTGGCTGGGTGACTATCGTTATGACTGAAAAGCCTGTCATCAAGGTTTGTTTTCTCTACCAATCTTGATTGAACTTGATTTATGCTTTCTTGGGTCCCTGAATTTCAATATAACACAGATAAAAGTGCATCATGTAAATTTTGAATGGTCTGAAATTACGTGCACGAAATTTGCTAGTTTGCTAACCTCGATTGGTTTTTCTTGCAGTATATTCTCATTGGTGCTTTGGCTTTGCTGGTAATAACTTCAAAAGACTAGAAAAAGATATTATTGTAAGAAGAGCCAGCACCTCCTTGAGGGTGTGATATTGCATTATCCTTTGTATCATTTGACTATTTAATGTTATGAACTAATCCAAAGCAGTTTGATTTCGACCCCCCGCTTCTGTATGCCTTAATGGACAAGTTAAGGTTTGTGGAATATCCACATGCTGAGAAAAAATAGCTCTTTTCAGGGGACTTTTCTCCCCCAAAGTGATACAAAGGGTATGGGAGGATGAGACTTGAATGTCGAAAATATTTTTAATTATATTTAGATCTCCTAAAAAAAGTTCAAAAATGATTATAAATATTGATTCAGACACATGTTATGAGAAGTCCCTATTACAAATCATTAGAAATTACTTAAGATTAAGACTTGAACACTTTATTTATGACTGACACTTTCATGTTTGCAATTACCAGCAAATGTGAAAATGAAAAGAAAAGGGAGAATTTCATTATAGTACCACTGTAGCAATACATCTCCAAATCAGAACCATGCAATTCTGAAATCACACTGCAGCTTTTGATAATCCAAATGAATTTAAGTTTCATGGCAAAAAGACATCATTGCCCTTAATGTGAAAAAAATGTCTGATAAAACCCATTTTGAAGAAAGCTTCGACATATCTTCTCACTATTTGCAAATCATATTCGGAACTTATTTTGAAGACGTGCGAGGCATTTGCTTGAGTTTTCTTCTTATGCAACACAGGTCTTCCATTTGGTTATTCAAAGCTGTTGTCGACTTTGGAGTATATTATCAAAGGTTCGGCCATTCGGCATTACGACACCATGGATTGATTGTTTTTGTCAGTGTTGAGAACCGCAAAGGATAACCATACTCTGATAGTGAAAAGGCTATTTCATTTTCTTCTTTTTGTAATAACAGATGCATAGATAGCTCCCTGATGATTTCTTGTCATACTGATAGTTATTACTGATTTATATTTGTTTTCTCTTGTACATGAGGATTCCATTTTGTCCAAGATATGGAACTAGAAAACAACTAGTTATTTTAATATATATTACTTGTTAACTAGTTATAACTGGTTGTTAATTTTCAAATATCTAGTTTTGACAATATTACATAAGTAATATGTTGGTTTTAACAAATAATGCAAGAGAATTGACAAGTAAGATTTTACAATTTACGAGTGAAGTTAAGGGAATTTACATTATTTTGAAGACAAGTACATTATCAAACTTTACAAGATATTTTAATTGTGAGGTTAGTAATTTAATAAATCACATATAAATTTGCACATGTTAGGTATTTGACAAGTAACATTACAGATTGGACAAGCAACGTAAGGCATTTTACAAGCAATACTAGATGGCATAGTTTTAGAGCTTTGAAGAAGATGTTGATGATGGCTAGTGCAACATCCATATAATTTAAGATCTACATCTGCCCATTCACTAATATCAACTAGCTAGACAACAAATGCCAAAAAAAAAAAAAACAAAGCAACAATGACATAGTTAAAATACAATTTCATTTTGATGTTCTTCCTTTTGTAATTGGAGATACATGGATGTTATGAGCTTGATGTTATAATCTTGAAATTGTAAATTGACTATTAGCTACAATGTGTCTATGCTTCTTTTAATGTTCAAATTAGTTGTTTCGATTAGTTTAATTGAGTATTTACAAGCATTGGTATAGTTTTTTTTTTTAACCAAAAGTATGGGTATAGTTAACAAGTAACGTAAGGGAATTTACAAGTAATATTAGATGTTTTACAAATGAAGTTATTAATTCCACAAGTTATGAATGGATTACAAGATGGATATTGCATAAGTGGCACTTTGATCTTAATAAATAATGTAAAAGAATTTACAAGTCATTAAACATTTGCTTGTGAATAGGGCTGTGCAAAAAAATTTCAAACCCGGTCTGTTTGGTTTGACCCGGTGTGACCCGGTCTTAAAAAAAATCAACCCGAATAAAAGACTGGACTAAACGGGTCAGACTACACATACGGGTTAGACCAGACTAGAGACTGATCTTTTGGACCAATTAGTCTGGCCCGGTCCAGGTTATTTTTTTAATATTAAATATTAAATAATTATATTATTTACACACAAAAAATGAAAAAATCTCACGCTGACAGACTGACTCGCTGAGCCTCACCTTCACGTCTCACGCCTCAGTTACAGTTCCTCACACGCATGCCTCGGATTCGGTCCGTGAAGTCTGAGTATCTGTCCGAGGCTCTGAGCTCAGTACCTCATTTGTCATTTCTCCCGTTGCCCTAGCTGTAGCTCTCTGGTTTCACTCATCTCTCTGCCTTTCCTTGGTCGGCCGTTGCTCTGTTTCTCCTCAAGCATGCCGATGAAGAAGAACATCACGATCGCTTAACTACTTCACTCAGCCTTTCGATTCATCGTGCATTTTCCTCCTTCTTCTCCAGCGACAGCGTCGGCAGCTGAAAGGTATTCGTATTTTATGGTTTTTCTTCTAGTTTTGCTCGCTCTATTTTATGGTTTTTCGTTGCTCTGTTTTTGCATTCTGGTTTTTCTTGCTTGGTTTCTGGTTTTTCTTGCTTTGTTTCTGGCTTCTTCGATGATTTCTGTTCCATTTTCGCATGCTTCTGTTCTGTTACTTCTCTCTTTTTGGTTTTGTTTGCTTTTCGTTAAGGCTGCTACGGTGAGAGATGTACTATTGTTACCATTTTCAAAAGTTCACATTTCCACCCTTTTGGCGAGACACGCTTCTATTGCTGCTATAGACTGATGACTGATCTTTTGTTGCTAACTTGCTATAGATGGCTTCGGTTTTGGAGGATCATTCCTTATTTTTGGTTGATATAATCTGATATTTATTCTATTTTCGGTGAGGTTGCTATTCTGATATTTGAACCTTATATCAGTATTTTAAGGATAAATTTCTACAACAATTAGATTACCTGTGCTTATAATATTAATTGTTGGATTTGGTTTGTTGGTGATCATGACAGAGAAGTGGCTCTGTGCCTCTGTATATGTCATACTTCTTTGAGAAAAGTCTGACTCTATACTTGTGTTTGTGATTTTATAAGTTAACATTGTGTCTTGTTTTTCATATTAGAAACATGGTGGACGAAACTTCTGCATCTGCTAGTATTGACCAACCCTTGCCATCACAATTAATTGATTCTAGTCAAAATGAAATGCCACCTCTTATTGGACCAACTCCACCAACTCCTCCTCTTGTAGCTATTGATCCTGCCTCTAACCTTGCACAAGATTGTGGTCCAGAGAATGTGAGCAGAAAGAGAAAAGAGCCTGCAAAAAAGAGTAAACAATCACAAGTTTGGGAGCATTTTGTGAAGTTACCTTTGGAAGAAACAAATGGAGAGGTTAAAGCTTCTTGCAAATACTGTCATGCAACTTATGCTTGTGACCCAAACAAGCATGGGACAACATCATTGAAAAGGCACTTTCCAAAATGTCCTAAAAACCCACATAAGGCTACCACAATACCAAAGCAATCAATGTTGAACTACGTGACGCCAAGTGGACAAGGAGGGGGCTTAGTCTCTCATGTTTTCAACCAAAAACGATGTAGAAGGGCATTGGCTGAATTTATTATTTGTGATGAGATGCCATTCAGGATAGTTGAGAAGTATGGGTTTAGAAATTTTGTGAGAGAGCTGGAACCAAGATTTCGAATCCCTTCGCGAACAACAGTTGCTAGAGATTGTTGGCAACTATACCTTGGAGAAATCAAGATATTGAAGCAAGTGTTGAAGAAGTCTGCAAATCGTGTTTGCTTGACAACTGATTGCTGGACATCTACTTAAAATTTCAATTACTTATGCCTTACTTGTCATTTCATTGATCCTGAGTGGAAGTTGCACAAGAGGATATTAAATTTCTGCATGATTGAGAATCATAGGGGTGACACAATTAGAAAGACAATTGAGAAGTGTCTATTAGAATGGGGAATTGAGAGGGTGTTTACCATAACAATGGATAATGCATCGTCTAATGACACGGCTTTATCTTATTTGAAAAGAAGGCTTAGGAATTGGAAGGGCATGGTTTGTGGGGGTGATTACCTTCAATTGAGATGTTGTGCACATATTCTTAACTTGGTGGTTAATGATGGGTTGAAGGAGTTGAAGAACAGCTTTGATGCAATTCGCAATGCAATTAAATATGTTCGTTCTTCTCCTGCTCATCTCCAAAAGTTTAAAAGTGTTGCTGAGTTGGAGAAATTGGACACTACTAGCCTTGTTTGCCTTGATGTCAATACTCGGTGGAATTCAACTTACTTGATGTTGGAATCCGCTTTGAAGTTTCAAAAGGCTTTTGAACGCCTAGAAGATGAAGATGAAGATTATATGAGGCAATTCATTGGAGGCACTAAGCGTGAAGGCCCTCCTAAAGCTAGTGATTGGAACAAGGCGCGTGTCTTTCTCAAATTTTTGAAGGTATTCTATGACATAACTTTGATGTTTTCAAGTTCACTAAATGTTACTTCTAACACTTGTTTCCATCAAATTGCTCTTATTCATGAGTTGTTGGAAGAGAACATTGTGAATGTTGATCCTTTGCTTATGGAAATGTCCCTAAGTATGAGAAGCAAGTATGAAAAATATTGGGGTCAAACAGAAAATGTGAATCCTTTACTCATTGTAGCAGTGATTTTGGATCCTCGGTACAAGCTTGCTTATGTGAATCATATATTTGAGCAGCTTTTTCTTGATCTTGAAGTTTGCATGGCCATGAAAATTAAGATCAAAGATGTCTTGTACCGTATGTTTGATGAGTATTCTAAAGGACTAGGGACTAGTACCCCAAGCAATGCTTCTTCTTCTACACTTCCAAGATCATCAACATGTTCAATGCTTGAAGGCCAAGGGGGTATAGATCCAGGTCGCAGGTGGTTAGCATCTCAAAAAGAAAAAACCTCATTAGACCCACAATCAGAATTAGATAAATATCTTTTATCTAATTCTGCTGATGATACCCCTGTTGATGATGATTTTGATATATTAGCATGGTGGAGAGCCAATTCTAGCAAATACAAGGTTCTTTCTATGATGGCACGTGATGTCTTGGCTGTTCCAGTGTCTACAGTGGCTTCTGAATCAGCCTTCAGCACAGGAGGACGTGTAGTGGACTCTTATAGGAGTTCATTATCACCAAAGATGACTGAAGCACTTATATGTGCTCAAAATTGGCTGCTTCCTGGACAATCCATCTCTGAATTTGCATCCATGCTTCAAGAATTTGATAATTTTCAAGAGACCGAGGGTGTGGTGAAGACTGGTATGTGTTGCAATGATGATATTGACTATTTATATTTTATATGAATTATTATATGTTTCAGTTGTATTTTTTTTATTTGTGATGTAATGCCATTGACTATTTATATTTTATATATTTTTTTAGATCTTTCCAGTGTTACTGATGTTGGAGAGGATGGTTGTGTGAGCATCATTTGATATTGTATGGCGCTTATGTTTGTTAACTTTTAAACTTTCAGATATTTTGGATATATTTTGGGCACATCTCACTAACTTTTTGTTATGTGAAGAAGCATGATGATAGTTTGATAAGCTAATGCTTATTTTTTGGCTAGCTAGCTATATCATGTGGTTGGCTAGAATATGTGGATAGTCATTTTTTTGGATAGACTATAGAGCTTGACAATGAAATGTTGAATTGTTGACTAAGTAGACTATAGTGAGATGTATATATTCTGAATATGAATATATTAATGAGTTTATGTATTTGCGTCACTCTCATGCATGCTCTCATTCCTCTTTAGCTCAAGACTTGGAAAAAAGAAACATATGCAAAGCATATATGTTCTATTGTGTTTTCATGCCATACGTAGACAGCAAAAATATTAAACAATATAAAAAAAGAAAAGGGATATAAAAAAAAGCCTATGATATTAATGCAAGTGATTATAGGGAAGGGGATATAAGGGCTTTTTTTTTGAGAGAGTTGGATTCAAGAAACCAGACTAGTCCAGTAACCCAGTGGACCAAGTCCAACCCGGTCCAGGTCCCAGGTCCAACAAGACTGAACCAGTCCTTGGACTGAAAATTCTAGCCCGGTCTCCATTCAGACTAGACTTCGGGTTGGCATGCAACCCGGTCCAGTCCAGTATTTGTGCAGCCCTACTTGTGAAGTCAAGTTATACTTGGATTAACACATGTTAGATATTGCATAAGTAATATTATGGACTTAATAAACAATGTAAGAAAACTTATACGTCATATTAGACATTTTACTTGTAAATTTAGTTATTTAACATGTTTAGATTTACAAAGTCAGATATTGCACAAATAAGTAACATTTTTAATTTAACAAGTAACATAAGAAAATATACGAGCAATATTAGATATTTTACACATAATGTTAATAATTTAACAAATCATGTATGAATTTACATAGGTTAGGTATTTGATAAGTAATATTTTGGACTTGACAAAAAATGTACAAGTAATATTATGTGTTTTACTTGTATTGTTAATAATTAACAAGTTACACATGAATTTACACAAGATGAATATTGTGCAAGTAACATTCCAAACTTAATAAGTAATATAAGGGAATTTATAAATCATATTAGGTATTTTACTTTTGAAGTTAGTCATTTAACAAGTCATTTATAGATTAACATAAGTTAGTTATTTGATAAATAACATTATGAACTTAATAAGCAACGTAAATAAATTTATAAATTATAATGGATATGTTATTTTAACTTGTGAAGTTAGTCATTTAACAAACTATGTTTGAATTTATACATATTAGATATTTAACAAGTAACATTCCAAATTTAACAAGTAATATAAAAATATTTACGAGTCATATTAAACATTTTACTTATAAAGTTAGTTATTCAATAAGCCATGTTTGAATTTTGTGTTGGCATACTTGACCTCAACTCATAAACTATAATGGACCTAATGCGCTTCTCTTCTTGTGGGGCACAACCAAGTTGTAATGCCAATTGGTACCTTATTAAAGTGTTAAGTTTAATTGCCTTACCAAGACTAGATATAAATTTACAACCACAATGATCATATTTACAATATAATATAAAAGTTTTTACAACATGAAATACAATTATTTTGGACACTACAACTTTAATTACATTAATATGCAACATCTTCATCTAGCCACTTACTTTGCAATTGTAATGTTGCAGAACAATTTACATTAGAAAAATGCTCTCCATGTGAAATAATCTAGTTCTTTGATACTAATCTTCACACTATGAACATGTATCAATCCATGTTAACAGAATTGATATGTGTCATGAGATTTTGTTAATACATTCAAACTATCAATATTAGAACAATTGAGTCATTGAATAACAAGACAATTTTAAATTATAATCAAAATCACTTTACATGTCCATATATCACGCTACATTTTCATACCATAACTTGATATCGACGGTCTACCCAAAAAAATTAACAAGTAAGAGTAATAATTTAACAAGTAATATGTAATAATAATAAATTCAGGTATAAGTGGGAACAAATTATATTAGTAACAATAATCATTAAGGAATAACAACTTCACATTGCTATATTTACAAGTAGATTTACACTATTAGCATCTAATTTCACATTATTCACAAACTGCGCAAGCACCAATATGAGACAAATCTTCAAGGATCTAATAATTTGAACATGAAGTCGACTCGTTCCTCATCAGAGAGCAAATTAAAAAGAAACTATAACATGCCAATTTGAAGACCTCATTCCTCATTTGACTTAATGGGTTGGTCGACCTTTGTAAGCCATATTTTTGCTTGCTTTGTGCACTGCTGCAACACGTTCCTCTAAGATAGACTTGAATCTGCAGGCCATGATATCATAAGGCCACCCAGTCTAGAAATTATATCCAAGTCTTTCTCTTCGAACAGATCGGTTGTGCCGTCGATGACATAATAGAAGGTTAAGCAATGCTCATGGGACCTCGTCAGCATCATCAAAGGGAAATCATTATGCGACTTACTGTAAATGGTGTTCAACGGCGAGAGGGGACGTGCATGTAGGAATTTGTTTCTCTCATCGAAAGTCCAACTCCAATTTTGCACAGTCTTTCTTTTTTATTTTAAGGGCACTTTTCAATTGCGTTGCACTTTGGTCATTGCGTTGCAATTTTTATTATTTTATTAATTTAGGGTCCTATAATGAAATCCCTCCAAAAGAAAATGTGATAATTCTTCATATTTGGATGGGATGGGAGAAAAAAAAAGAGTAAAGAAAATGATCTTAAAAATATTTTCTATTTAACAAATCAAAAGTGAATTTTTAAAAATATGATCATGAAATATTATAAGAATGAAATTGTTTGCCACAAGACCCCAACGAAACAAAAAGAACATGAGCATAAAATACATTTAATTTTCTTCTTTATTTTCTATCCTCCCACTTTTCTTCTTTTATTCAAACAGAAAAAAGTTGTTTACTCTCATATTCTTCACTCTAATTTTTCTTCTCCCGTAATTTCTCTACCTCCAAACAAAGCATTGCATTTTGCAAAATAATTTCACATTTTTTAATACAATTTCACATTTAATTCTCTTGAGTTCTGACCTGAGTGGAACGATCCGGAGGAGAGTGTAGCGTTTGTCAGGTTGGCCATTGGCAAATGAAAAAATGACAATTGGGATCTTATAAGAATATTAATAACAATTACTGACCTTAAATTGTTAAAATTTTAATAATAGATTATAATGTTTCCTTGCAATAAATTATTTTTTTCAATTAACTTAAAATTTTCAACTAACATTAAAAAATTTCCAACATCTTTTGTTACTTTTTCAAGTAATAACAAGTGATTGATTTATAGTTCACAATTAACTTTCATAAATTTTTATTTAATGTTACAATTAATTATAATATTTAATAAATTTTTTAATAATTTATTTATATATTGAATGTAAAAAGTTTATAAGTGATTGATTTATGATTAACAACCGACTCTTATAAATTTCTAATTAACATTATAAATAATTTCAAGTGTATTTACTTGATTTTTTAAATAATTTATTTGTATGTTAATAGTAAAAAAATAAAATTTATATTTGACTCTCATAAATTTTTAACTGACCCTACAAATAACTTCAAGTGATTTAATAACTTTTTTAATTAACTATTTATATTTTTTTAATTATTATTATTATGATTTTAATAATTTAATATCTATAATTATAATTAATATTTTTATGGGTTCCTAGTCGTGATTTCCCTGGGAAATTAGCGCTGACTCGTGGTCCGACTCTGAGTAACTGGCGCTGCTTCCTTGGGAGCCAACGTTCTAGCTTAGTCCATGAGGTTGGCGCCTCAAATCTCAATGGTCTAATCCCTTCCCTTCCGCTCTAAGATTGAGTAGGTTTCTGAAATCCTTGATCGGAGATTCTGCAAATATTCTGAACTGAAGTGCTGAACGAAAGAGCTAACAGCGTTTAGCATTTGAGCTCCCAAATGAATACAATATTCAAGGTTCAAACTTTTCCTTGCTCGTTGGCCAGGCCCAATGTCGAAGGCTATTCTTTCCCGAATCAAACCCCGCCGTCACAACGCAAGAACGACTTCGTTCAACCCTACTGCCTTCACGCCTCGTATCAAGAAGCTTGTTTTCGACACCGTCGACATCCTTAGAACCCACAAGGAGTGGGAGGACTCCCTCGAAACCCACTTCGCAGAATCCGGAATACTTGTTTCCGATGTTGCGCATTTCGTTTTAGATCGAGTACACAACGCAGAACTGGGTTTGAAGTTCTTTGATTGGGCTAGCAGAAGACCGTACTCTTGTTCTCTCGACGGGGCAACATATTCTTCGCTTCTGAAACTTTTGGCGAAGTTTAGATTGTTTTCAGAATTGAAGTGGCGTTGAAGAACATGAAAATAGAAAATATAAAGCCCACCCCCGAAGCATTGAGTTTTATTATTTGGGCGTACGGTGATTCTGGGTTGGCTGATAGGGCTCTCGAGTTATTTCATACGATGCGTCAAATACATAATTGTTATCCTAATACTGTGGCTTGTCATTCATTGCTTCAAGTTCTAGTGAAACATCGGAAAGTAGAGATTGCACGTCAATTGTATGATGAAATGTCTGAAAGAGATGATGGGGAAGGTACCGTTGTGGATAACTATAGTACCTCTATCGTGGCGAAGGGTCTGTGCAATGAAGGAAAGGTTGAGGAAGGTCGGAAATTGATTGCAGACAGGTGGGGAAAAGGTTGTGTGCCAAATATTGTATTTTACAATACAATCATTGATGGTTATTGCAAGAATGGTGATCTTAATGGTGCAAATAGAGTTTTCAAGGAATTGAAATTGAAGGGATTTTTGCCCACATTAGAAACTTATGGGGCTATGATTTATGGATTCTGTAAGTCTGGGGAATTTGATGCAGTTGATCAACTTCTGACAGAAATGACTGAAAGGGGATTGAAAGTGAATGTACAAGTGTATAATGAGATTATTGATGCTAAATACAAACATGGTTTAGTAGATGAAGCAGTTGACACAGCGAGGAGGATGATTGAGAATGGATGTAAACCAGATATTACAACTTACAATACTCTGATAAATTGTTCATGCAGGAGTGGAAGAATTAAGGAAGCTGGTGAACTCCTTGATCAGGCAAAAAGGAGGGGATTGGTGCCTAATAAGTTTAGTTATACTCCCCTCTTGCACGCTTATTGCAGGCAAGGGGATTATGTTAAGGCATCAAATATGCTTATTAAGATTGCTGAAACAGGAGATCAGCCTGATTTGGTTTCTTATGGAGCTTTTATCCATGGAGCTGTTGTTGCAGGGGAAATTGATGGTGCCTTGATGATCCGAGAGAGGATGCTGGAAAAGGGAGTATTCCCTGATGCTCAAATCTACAATGTTCTGATGAGCGGCCTTTTAAGAAAGGGAGGTTTCCTGCTGCCAAACTGCTATTAGCAGAAATGCTTGAACAAAATGTTCAACCTGATGCATACATTTATGCCACTTTGGTGGATGGGTTTATTAGAAATGGGTGAACTTGATGAGGCAAAAAATATTTTTGAACTCGCAATTGACAAGGGTGTGAACCTTGGAACTGTCGGGTATAATGCCATGATTAAGGGTTTCTGTAAACTTGGAAAGATCACAGATGCTCTATCATGCATCAATAGGATGAGAAAGGCAGGTCATGTTCCAGATGAATATACTTACTCAACAGTTATCGATGGATATGTGAAGCATCAAGATTTGGATAGTGCACTCAAGATGTTTGGTGTGATGCTGAAACAGAAATGTAAGATCAATGTGGTCATTTACACCACTTTAATCAACGGATTCTGCAAGAAGGCAGATTTGAGCAGAGCTGAAAAGGCTTTCAGGGGGATGAGCTCTTTTAATTTAGAGCCTAATGTGGTCACATACACCATGCTAATTGGGGGTTTTTGTAAGGATGGTAAACTTGCAACAGCAACATCCTATTTTGAGCTAATGCTGTTGAACAGGTGTCTTCCTAGTGATGTCACAGTGCATTATCTGATAAATGGTTTAACAAATAATACACTTAGTGCTAGTGTTAATGAAGAAAATGAGTCTAATGATAATGGTAAGTCCTTGATTTTGCACTTCTTTGCAAGGATGATTTCAGATGGATGGAACCGAATCGCTGCTGCTTATAATTCTATAATTATTTGTCTTTGTAAACATGGAATGGTTGATACTGCTCTGTCATTGCAAACCAAGATTCTGACTAAGGGTTTCCTTTTCAATTCTGTAATTTTTGCTGCTTTACTGCATGGCTTATGCATACAAGGTAGGTCAAAAGAATGGAGGGGTATTATATCCTGTGATCTAGAAAAGATTGATCTCGAAACAGCTGTTGAGTATTCTCTGGCATTGGACAAATTTCTATGCCAAAGGGTTTCAGAGGCTTCATATATTTTGCAGGCGTTGGTTGAAGACTCTAAGTTTTCTGATCAACAAAGTCAATACATCTCAAGGTTATAGTGTCATATGGAGAGGAAATTCCATGAACTAAAGAAACTAATCTCCTTGGCAGAGCCATATACATGGATATATTTGATAAGGTTTCCGTTTTGCTTCAGGAAATCGAGATCTTGATATACTTAATGATAGTACTCTCAGAGAGATTGTGCCAATTATCTTAGTTGCTAAACCTTTGACGAACATACCTTCGATGAACTGACAGGCTTTTGACATCGTTTGTTCTCCGAAAGTTCAAAACATGAGGACGGCTTCCAACAACAAAGAAACCTGAAATCTGTTGTCTTATGCAGGTATTTTCTGATGTTTGAATTAAATCATTTGTATTTCTGTACATTTATATGCACATTACATTAGTACACTTCATTCCTTTAACTCACTTCACCTTTCTAGAGAATAATTTCACTGATTAGGCTTTGACATTGACGATATGCATGTTTGTCTATCGCTCGTTGCTTAATGCTTCTATGTTTCAATTTCCGTTTCACTATTTAGATTCACCATTTGTCTTTACTTATTTTGATTTTCTCAGATAATCACCACTACCGTAATATGATTATGTCATGAAAATTTGTTGGTTAAAAGGATCCGGAAGATCGTATGTGCTTAAATGTCCACTTCCATTTTTGGTGTCCCTTCGTCAATGCAACAAGTTGCATCCCTCAAGCTAATTTGGGAATGCATTTCCTTTGTCAGGTATGTCTTTATTAGACCAAATATAGTTGAATTGGTTTGTTGCTTCAATGAGTTCGCACTGGATGGTTCTATATTTTTTCAGGTTTGCCACTGAAGTTGATGTTTTCTTTGGTGGGGTCAATATCAAGGTTCACAAAGAACTGCTGAAAAATGAACCACATTCTTGTCGATGGAACACCGTGGAGGATATTAGCTCTGGCTACAGATGAGGACATTGGATTAAAGAATGTGAGACATTTTATTCTTGATTGGGATGAAAAGATGCTTGCATCATAATTTGGTATAATTTCGTATCTCTTCCCCTCTCTGTGAATTGTGACTTACTTTTTGTGTGCATGCTGGTTTTGAATTTAGATTTAAAGCCCTAAAAATTTTATATAACTTTGAATATGAAATATTTGTATAATTTCTTTTATTTATATTTCTTGAAATCTTTTCTTTGATCCTTGCAGGCTTGAGAACTGAGGAGAGATGTGAATGAAATTTTTGGGTTCGTGATAGCAATTGAGGATGCTTTCAGCTACACTCGCTGAAGAAATCCACCCTGCTGAGCTGTTAAGCAATTAATTCCAAATCCAACCTGTTCAGCTACACTCTGATCAATTGTTTTCTGATGATGACAAGGATATCAATCTCTTAACTGAGGACTCCCTCCTGTCCCTATCCATTCTTTTAGAAAGAATGTTTTCGTCCTTATATAAGGGTACTTGATATGATATTATTAATTATGTTATTTCAATATTATTTTTATTTAAACTCATTATTAATAAGAGAATTTAATGCAAGTTTGAAAATTTTTTTTAATTTAAATAGGGGTTAAAATTAGAAGTTTGTTTTATTTTCAAACAAAGTTAATGATTTAACCATCCTTTCTTGATTCCAGTTAGATGGTTAAGATAACGACATGAAAGTATCTTGACCAAAATGATGGATCTGGTTATAATGAGAGCATATAACCTAGTAAACTGCCGGTGATTGTTCATGTTCCTCACTTTTCCGTACTTAACAAAATTGTTATTCTATTGTTAAGTGATGATTATGATGTTAACTTTTGTTCAGGAATATCATGTTTTTCAGTTTGACTTAACGAGCGAAGTGGGATTTTTGGGGTCTTCCTGGCTTTCAGAAAGTTGTCAACATCATATCTCTCTTAGCCGTCTCCTTCAAACGAAAAGGAGATATCTAATGCGTCTAAATTAGTCAAATAGAAGTGCGCGCGCGCGCGCGCTTATGAGATGTTAGTTTTGTATCGTGTAAAAGAATTTAATAAATAAGCTATTATTTATAACTTACACAAATAAAATTAGTCTTGTATCGTATAAAAGAATTAATAAATAAGTTAATATTTATAACTTATACAAATAAAATTATTATATTGATAGGGAATGATAATTCATCGATTTGGCCCAGACGCGTGGTTGCGGGGAGTATGCATTTGCTTTAGGCTCTTGCTGAGAGATACATGCACATGAGGATTTCGCGCCTGTAAATATGATCAATAGAGAGAAGTCATGAGCAATCAGATCAAGGGTTTACTTTTCTCACAAAATTGAATATGCTTGTAAAAAATTTGGATGCTATTTTGGATCGCGCTCTTAGGAAGTACATAATATGTTATTTAATTGGCGAGATCTACTCAATCTAAATTTTGATATTTTGGATTTCATTACCCTTTCTATAGATGTTAACTGAATAATAACAATTGAACTGCTATCGATAAACAGAAAGTACAATGGTTAACGTTACCCAAAAAAACAAAAACACAATAACGGCTTTTGCATAAAAGATATGTACTATCACACACCGGTGTCATCCGTCATTCCAAAAGCTTAGTTCAAATAGAGAGAAAAGTAAGGGGAAAAAATAAGAGAAAATAGAAGAAAATTTTTTCAAAAATAATAAATATTTTCTATTTTAAATTGTATATTTATATAGATTGTTTACAGCGTTCCTTTTGGGTAAAACAAAGCAAAGTATAACCAGGCACCACCTCCCTGATTCCATTTATACTTCTTATATGCCGCGTTGGTAAGGCATTCAATGATTTGAATAATCTTAAGGCATTCAATGATTTGAATAATCTTAAGTAGAGTCACTGAACTAATTCTACACATTTCGTAGTTTCAAAACTGTCATCGCCAGAAGGCAAGAAGCCTACAATTGGTAGGCAAGAAAAGACCAAGAGCATTGATGTTCGCTGAAAGCCAAATATCATCACTTCTTAAAAATCAGGGAACGTACCAATGCATCCTCCAAGGAAGTGATCTCAACGAGCAAGGCAGCAAGAGAAATGAAAGATATAAAAAATGAAACGCTTTTTCCGAGTAAAAATAGAAGAAATTTGGAATCGAATGTTCCAGGTTAGTCTGCAATGAATTCTATGCTTGCCTACTACTCCTAAGAAAAAAAAATGTAAATCATTACAGAGAACATGTCTTCACCAGAAACAGGTGTGAGTTTGACAAGCTTCACGCACCCTGCTCCTCAATGTCTCCATTTTCACCATCTTCAGCGGCAGCGGCAGCCATCAACTCATCAAAGTTTGCCGTCTTCCCGAGTAATATTTCAATCTACAACAAGTTGTAGTAAATGTGAGACTTTGATGAGCCAAGTATAATAAAAAACAAAACCCAAGCATATTCAGCGGGGATGACGAAGACATCCCAAAAACATGTCATGGGCCCATCAAGTTAAGTTTCCACCCCTACCTTGGCCTTCTGGACGGGTCTACCTCTCGAATCATCCTTTATGTCAACAGTTGATGTCATGATTTCTGCATTATGATTCAATCACTGGTCAAATTCATTTTTCCAAACCTTTCCCATAAGTCTGATCAAAATGAGAGAGGGATGGGAGCAAAATTTCCCAAATAAGAAAAGGTGAAGAAGATAATATCTCACTCTTTTCAACAGCGAGCCCTCACTCTTTTCAACAGCGAGCCCGTTGTTTTTCAAAATTTCAGCAACAGTAACCACTGTGGCAATAGCTATGACAACGAAAATAAAAAAAAAAATAAAATTAGAAAGCATCTTTAAACATAGGGAAGAGGTAGGGAAAAAATAATACTACAAAGAAAAAAATAAATAGATTTCATTTTTCAAACGTTGTTTTACTATCCCAGGAGCAATAGAACTGTCCAACTCAACAACGAGAGGAAGAAAGCAAAATGTAATGAAAAAAACGCTAGGATTAGTATGTTTCAGCAGCTTGGGCTTAAATAACAAATGACAGCATACTTAAAACATAATTTCCTTATCTGCAACTCAATATGAGAGCTTGCAAAACAATAAACGGATGATACATCCACCAAACAAAATAAGGAGAGAATAAGGAAATAAAATTCTCCTAGCGTTAATCATGTTAGAGTCTAGACTTTCACTCTAGATTCGGTACTGATTTTCATCTGCTCCATTTTCTCTTCCTCCTCATTTTTTCCCAAAAAAGACGCAATGGCATACAGGCAAAACATTACTTCATGAATTCACGCATTTTTTGAAAGTTGATCATAAATCAAGATAATTTTTCTTTCACATTACTTAAACAATAAATTTACAATATTTCCAGCATTACTCATCATTAATTGTTCTTCCGACGCCCATGCCATTTAAAGAATAGACATTTTTTTCCACATTTAGAAATGTTAAATCCTCATACAGTAATGTTAGCTTTACTCCGCCAGGTCTTAGAGCTTACAATATTGTCCTAACTAAAAATTTAACGTTGAGTTGGCATCACCAGTTCCCACCCCCACATACATCTAGTTTCATTTCCTTCAAAGCCCAAGACCCAAACAGATATGCTGAGTCCACATCATTTTCCCCCACCTCAGCTGAGTCTACATTCCAAAACAATTTCATTCGGGGGAACATCTTTCAAAGTCGTTATTTTGAAAATTTTCTCCAATCAGGAAAAAAGCAAGAAATTGGAAAGGGGAACGCATTAGTAAATTCTCCACGTCTCGCTTTCTAATTCCTAAGCTCTAGTATATTTATCAACCAAAGCACAGTAGCCATATGCTAAATCTGTATGTCAGATGCTTTAACCATTTAAAAGGGGAAATTCAAATCACTAATGGATGGCACATTCCAGTCCTCAACATCAGCACAAACATATTAAGACTTCTAACCCTAATGCTCTAAAAGGTGGAATGCCGCAGGATGGAAAAGGACAAGTAGCGTGACACTTGAAATTTCTAAGGTGTAATATGGAATATAGAAAGGGGGGGAAGCGAACAATAGCCAAAAGAATATTAAAGAAGATGGATTTGGCTAAGATTTCATACCCATTCCAAGTGCTGACAACTCGACCTCGTTATGTTGTTGCATATACCTCTGCAATAAAAACAAGAGCCCAGTTAAGGAAAATCACTGTATCCAATAAATGAATTAGCAACACCAAATGTTCAATGTTTCAAAACAAGACAGAAAATTGTTTTAAACCCAACTCCTTTAAGAAGAAGATAATTGAGCACCAACCACCAAATTGAAGGCAGCTAATTTTCCACGATCAAACAACAACTTGAAGAAAAGGAAACTTCAAGAAGAATAAAACCATTTTTAACACTCCTAAAATAAAATAAAAAGTACCGACAAAACCGAAGGGCGCGGCTAACCTTCGCTAAATTAACGTAGAAGAAGAGGGGCTTTTTGGTATTAGAAACTTGGATGCGATTCTTTTTGTACGAATCTGAAATATTGATGTTGTTTACTCCCTCCGTGATGGCTTCCATTGTCGTGAACCCAAATTGATCAACTTCAGAACCCTAATTTCTCTTTATAGTTTCGGCTTCTGGTTTTGCAATCCCCTCGAGCTGAAACAGTAAAGGTGACGGGGACGAAACATAAAGCACAAGTAGTCCGACGTAATGGCGACCTGAATTAGTTTGTTTTCCGGCACGAATTGATTGCAATCTACTCATTTTCTTCCTCTCGTTCCGCAGTCCCACTAAAATAAGTGCATAATATAAATCAGATCATCCAAAATTTAAAGAATGATTTTTTTTTTGGCCAAAAGACAATTTATTAATAAAAGAAAGAAATACACAACTACTAATAGCCGAAGCCAAGAAAACACTCAAAAAAACCTAGATACAACCTAACACACCAATAACTAAAAAATAAAAACACAACAAAAACAAAAAAACCAGAACAATGCAGAAATTAAAAGAATAATTTGAATGCATGTGATTGGAAAATATTTTTAGGAGATCTTTCTTAATTAGACTTAACAATTCTCGAATTTAACTCAATAAGGTAGATATATAAAAACGTTAAAGAATAAGTTGCATAAGAAGGAAACAATATTCCCTTGGGCCCAACACATTGGAAACAAAACGAACAACAAAACGCTGACAGCCCAATCAAAGAACAACAAACACAGGGATTCATCCAGCCAACTAATATGTGAAAATGCAATCAAATGGCACTTGTCTTAGTGATTAAGAACTTGGATGGTTTAACCTAAGGTCTCATATTCAAGTCTCAGAATATGCAGCAACACAACTAAGTATGTAAAGCATGTCTCGCTGATAGTAATTGCAAACCTAAGTCTCATATTCGGGTCTCAGAATAGCAGCAGCAGCACAACCAAGCATGTAAAGCATGTCTCACTGATAGTACTCGCAAACCTTCTCAAAAAGACCCCACCTAAGAGGGGATCTGGATTAGTTTGGTGTAAACTAAACGGGCAATGAATCCAACATATTTAGACATTTTAGGATATTGGATGCGAAAGCAAAAAAAAACAAAAATTGTGAAAATGCAAGTGTTAAATGAGTGAATCTAGTGGGTAAGTCGTACAAGAAACACTTCTAAGCTCCTTTCACTTGAACTCACAAAAAAGCTAAAGGAGCATGATGTCGATTTTCGTAGACAAGATAATCAATTGTTTCGAGAGAAACAAATGAATTTGTGAGCGATCATATCTTCTTAAACCAGCCAATAAAAATTTAAAACTTGGTATACAAAATGCCCAATTAACAACTTTACTATATGACGAACCAATGTTATATGATTTCATAATAAGACAAATCAATATTTGAATCTATATTAAAAAAAATATTCATATTTAATATTCAATAGTATATCAAATAAGATTATCTTAATAAGAAAAAATATAAAAAATGAGTTCAATAACCACAACTTCTATAAATTATAAATTAATTAGGTCAACTGATTGATACTAATATTAATTAATTAAAAAAGTATTTATAAATTTTATTAATGATTTTTAAACTTTAATTCTGATTCTATTTTTTTTGGATAGTTCTTCTAGCTATTTATTAAATGATAATAATCTATAAGGCGCCAGGAATGGACTTTTTTTTTAAAGGTAGCGCCCACATTTTTTTTTTTGTTTTCTCAAAAAACATGTTTCAGATTTGGGCATTTGATTTACACTAATTTATCCATGAGTATTGGTTGTGGCATTCCCCCCCCCCCCCCCCCAAAATAAAAAACTCTGAATCAGTTGAGTTTCAAAAATTTGTTAAAAACGAAGCATGTTTTTGGGCTTAAATGATATTTACAAAAATATTTATAAATTATCTACTAAAAAATACTTATATTAACAGGATTTGAACCAATAATTTTGAGGCTCGAGTTTAGCTTTTGTTCCTTGGAAATAATTTAAAAGGAAAATCACATTCAATGAATTTGAAATATAATTATTTGTACTAAATGATTAATGGAAATATATTTTGTTAAATGAAAATAAAATTTTTTTTAATAAAATTGTTATTGATCTTTATCTGTGAATAACTTTTTTCTCTTAGTAAAAAAATTATTATTTATAAGACATGGATTTTTTTTCCCTAAAGACAAGACATGGATAATATAACTCATTTTGTTTGGCCAACCCAAAAAAAAAAAAAAGATATAACTCATTTTTTTTAGATTCTGTATACGCGAGATCCATCCAATTATTTAAGAGTCCATTGGCCTGTGTTTATACATTAATTATGGAATAAAGTTGTCGCTACCTTTTTCTTTATACATAAAAGGAGTCACTGTAATAGAGAACGGTGTCATTATTAGGCATGCAAAGATCAAAATCATAGTCATAATCCAATTCATACTGGTGGGGGCATTTGTTTCCTGTTGTTATTATTTGCACTTAAAATTAGTTGGATGACAAAATAGGACAGTTGTACAAATTATAATATATTATATATAATACACACACACGCACATTATCAAACAATTGTGACTAATGAATAAATTTTTTCTTAACTTACTGTTCATAAACTACGCGAATAGAACACGTTGCATAGGATTTTCTTCGGCTTCGTTTAACTTTCCTTGTGCAAGGCACAAATAAAACTCGGGAAAATATTACTCAAGGACCACAGTTGAAAGTTTATATCAGTCAAACACGGAAAGATTCTGAAATTTTACTGTAGCTCCTTGATTCTAAACCGAAATAAAATTTACATGAAATAATTATATTGCCCTTAAATTTAAAATAATAAAAAATAAACTACTCTCATTGTCATTAGCACTGACACTAAATCATCACTGAAGACTCTACCAGCTTCCAATCACCGAAATTCCAATGACACTTTTATTTGAGGATAATTTGTAAAGGTGACCATGAGGAGTTTAATCTTATAATTCCTTGCCACCTAAAAAGCTTCATAGCCACCAAGCCATCAAACCCATTTAATTATATAGGCAAATACATACGTACACACACACACATGTTATGTATAGAGTAATCCAAATTTTTAAACCACTTTCAAGCTATAACATAATGATATGTTATTAATTCTTAAATGGCACTTATTTTATTAATATTACTTATTAGTCTGATGTAGTCAATTACAAAGTGGGAGCTTTAAATTTCATGCACTTTACTTGTTAAAAGTTTGAATGTATTGTTGTTAATCATGAATTGATTATTATTATTAAATCAAAATGAATACTTACTCACGAAGGACTAACACTTATATAATTAAGCAACGCATTCAAAATAATAATAATTCATTCAAACTGTAACAAGTTAAAAAATGGGATAAGATGGGTTTTGATTGTACAAGTTTAGCCCTTCATTAACAAGTATCCATTTAAATTTTGATAATAACCTGTTCTTGATTAATAATAATACATTCAAATTTTTAACAAATAAAATGTATAAGGTTTTAAAACTATCAACTTGTAATTATGTCAAATTGACAAGTAATATTAATAAAAATAATAAGTACTGTTCAAGAATTAATAACACGTAATAACATGAAAGGAAGTTAAAAAGCTTAAACTACTACATATTTTTTCATATAAAATTAAATGAATTTTTTGGCAGCCACTAAAGGTTTTAGGTGGTCAAGGAGTCATGGAATCAAACCCCCTAGCCACCTTTACAAATTATTTTGAAACAAAACTGTTACCAACACCAAAGCTTCGATGATTGACTATCAGAGACCTTACTAGTGGCAAGGACTCCGACAATCTCGGTGGTGGTAGAGTCTTCAATGGCAATCTAGTAGCTAGCATCTATGATAGAAGAGGAAAGGAAGAAATGGCCATATAGAGATGATTTGAGTTTGTAATATTTGGTTATGAATGAATCATGATTTTAATCAAAACAAAAACCTTAGGAATAATTTGGTCATTTCACATAAAAAATTAATTTCAGTAAGGACCAAAAAATTGCTAGAAAATTTCATAATCTTACAATCTTTGATTGATATAAATTAAACTTTCTACGTAGTGTTTGAATAATATTTTTTCATAAAACTCCCTATCTTGAGTTTACACACACACAAATCTATACATTAATTGAAGAATGTCAATTCTTAATTTGTCAAGCTTAGACTTGTCACATCTATTATGTTATATATAATCCAAGTTTGATTAGGTTATAATCACTTGTTTAGTGCACAATTCCACGGCCGCCCACAGAATGTAATTTGGGTCATTCATACTTTTCTATTTGTTTACAAGTGGTTTTTCCCACTTTTATTATATGTAATTTTATAATTAATGTCAATCAATATCAGTATGTAAATAAATTTTATACCAAATTATATTATTCACACAAGTCGATTGAATCTGACGCAAGACTTAAGAATGAAATCACGTATCATCAATGCTTGCCTCAGATACCATTTGTTCCTTCCACTTCTCGTAAATTTTGAATCAGGTTATCCAATATCCCTTGTTGCCTTGCTAGAACTCCTCTTTCTTCCTAGTTTTGGCGTTGGTGCTTTTCCATTATGAGAAGCAAATGGAGGATTTGGGCTGTGACTTCATAGCACAGAATCGCAATTCACAAAAGTTGATCAAGCTCGCTACTTTATAGAAAATGTTATTTAGTGATATGTGCCCCATGATTCCTCTATTGTGTTTATGTTTTATTTCATTTTTAAAAAAATAAAATTATAAAATGTATTTAATAAGCCTTATTGACATGTGTAATTTTGTCTAAAAGTATTGTATAATTTAGGATTAAGGGAATAATATAATTCTAGAGTATCATTTATTTTGAAGAGCAAAACAATAGCAATATTTAAATATATGTTAGATCAATTTATTAGCATCAACTATCAACTAATTAAAATATCAGGACCACTTCAATTTTAAAACACGCTTGAGAAAGCCAACACCACCGACACAATTTTAGAAGTTTGTGGCTGTAAGTCATTAAACATGGGAAAGACATTTTGAATTGTTGATTCTATTATTTCTCACCTCTTTTTACATATATAAGGTTAATATATGTAACATTCTAATTTAAATTTTAATAATTAATTTAAATTAATAAAAATTTTAAAAAATATTTAGAGGTAAGCAAATTAGTAAGGAGATTATTATTA